AATAATAATAATAATAATAATAATAATAATAATAATAATAATAATAATAATAATAATAATAATAATAATAATAATAATAATAATAATAATAATAATAATAATAATAATAATAATAATAATAATAATAATAATAATAATAATAATAATAATAATAATAATAATAATAATAATAATAATAATATATTCAATAAATTAAAATCAAGAAAAAATAGTTGGTTTGTAAATTGACAACGATTATATTTTGTTGCCAATCACTTGGAACATTTACAAACGATTATATTTTGTTGCCAAATCACTTTGAGCATTTACAACAAAATATTTCGTTGTCTTTTATCACTTACTGGCAACAAAATGAATTTGTTGTCGTTGTATATGTATTTACTACAATTTTATATCGTAGCAAAAAGAATCACTCTTTTGCAACAAATGAAGTTGTTGCCTTACATTAAATTCGTTGCGAAATATATATGATACTATTCACAACAATAGTTTTCGTTGCCTATGGGATTCAAAGGCAACAAAAATTTCTTGTTACAAAAAGGTTATTTTTTAGCCACAAATACTATATTTCGTTGCTACAATATAATTATTGGCAACGAAATTAATTTCGTCCACAAAGAAATCGTTGCCTATTTTACATTTTCTTGTAGTGAAAGTCAACACCGTGCTTCGACCTGCGCTAATTAAGTCAACTTTGCTGCCTTTTTCGCCTCCGTAATAATAATCTGCAGGTGGTGGCGATCCGGCAGCGTCAAAAAGCTCCTTCAGGGAGATATTGACTTGTCCGATGTACTTGTCTCCCGATTTGCTCGTGCAGTACAAATGCACGTCCAGAATCGTGTTACAGTTCTGGAGCATGGACTCGATTATGGTGTAGCTGGCCGCGTAATTCCAGACCGGATTTCTCTTGCCGTGGGTGTCCGTCGGAGTTCTTTTCTCCTTCTCCGGCAAGCCGCCGATGAAAACTCTTGCGTGCACGTTCATCTTGAGGCCGAATAGCCGTACCTGTTCAAGGTTGTTTGCTGATACGATGGTTATTTCAAGCCTTCTGCACTCCATTTCTGATTTTTCCTTTTTCTTTTTTCTTTATGAATTTGGTTACATGTGTACTTAATGGGAAAGTGGACTATAAATAGAAGACTCTGGTTTGCATGGAAAGAGAACCTACAAGCGGCTTACATCACGTACGAAGTGAGCCGCTTAGTAATTTCTTAAAAAAATGGAAATGCGTACGTGTTAAAGAAGAAAAATTCAAGCAATTGCTTAGATCGATTGGTTGATGGGAAAATATTTTTTTTTAAATTCTCAAGGGTATTTTAGTACTCTTATGATTATTTTAAATTATTTATTTTTATAAACCCATCAGCTATAATTTTCTCCCCAGTATTACCATCATATTTCTCTGATTTGACCTTTTTTTTCCAGCTCTCCTTTAATTCTCTATGTGCAATTGTGAATTAAAATTGATAAGAATCATTTTTTCAAATGATTATGGCGGAAGAAAGATTAATATATATGAATTGTTAGAATCCCTTGGATTCTAATTATATGAGAATTAAATAAAACTTGTGCCACAAGTTTGCATATACCGTGAGCTAAAGAAGGGAAGAGTCCTTGTAGCTTTTAATTCTTTTAATTTGTCATTAATTGATTTATAATAGGAATTATTCTTCTAAAGAGTTATTCTTATTTTAATGACTTGTCTTCTACGTATATTAGCTACCTTAGACCTAATGGACTTTGGTTTTCCTTGTTGTACAGTGAATCAAAAAACGTAGGCGAACATATATACGAGAGCAGCACGGGATCGTGATTGTTAGAACCCGTTGGATTCTGACTTCACAAGGAAACGTGTAAAAGACTTGTTCCACAAGTCTAGATATGTCATGATATAATAAGGGGAGTTTCCTTGTGTTTTAATTCTTTTTATTTTGTCATTAATTGATTAATATTAGGAATTATCTTTATACCAAGATTTTCTTATTTTACAACTTATGTCTCCTACCTGAAATAAGAGTCCCTAACTTAATGGACTTTATTTCCTTGGTATTTTAATAGTTAAGGGAATTAGTTTTTAGATAAGGAATGATCTAGTTGTATTTTCCTATACAACTCTTCTTAACGTGAGTAGCAAATCTAATCAGATTTGTATTTTCTTGTGCAGGAAGAATTATGAACGTATAAAGAGGGCTTCAGGCATCATTATCTGTGTGCGTTGTTTTTGTAGAGAAAAATATTTCTCTTTTCCTTGTTGCTCTTCTGGAGTCTTTTTATCGAGAGAAAAATTCACATAGAAAATATTATTTGCTCTCGTTTTTATTGCTCCATCGTGATACGTGATTTTCATAGAGAATATACCGGCTTCAAGGCTTTGTGGTGAAGACACCAAGATTCAAAAAGTATCACAAGTTTGCTTCTTCTATATAAAAAGAAGATCGGTTCTTCGGGAGAGGGGCTTAAACAGATCTCGGGAGGAGATCGATCCGCCGACTGAGGGATTCAGCGTTGAAGGGAGTTCAACCGTGCGGAGCAAGGGACGTGCTGCAAATTGAAGATTTATAATTCAGCGTAGTATACAAGAACGGCGTCAACAAAGAGGGAGTCTTTGTATTTTGATTAAGTCCTACTATTGTATTCGTAAAACTAAAAATTAGTAAATTTTATTTGCAGGTCCCCGTGGATGTAGGGTACAATTGTATCTGAACCACATTAAATTTGTGTCTCGTTTATTTCTGTTTTTACGAACTGCTTCACGAACTGTTGCAACACTTAACGCAACAGTAACGAAAAACTGAATCTGACACAAATAATTTATATCTGCACGAAATAAATTCTAACATGAATGCTCACCTTACTTATTTGATAGAAAATACATGTAAGAGAAACTTGAATTTCAATAATTTTATTACTTTAGAACACGCTTTTAATATACATTAACATTATGATTAATACAAATTTTTAACTTTGATAATACATAACCCACAAATTGTAACAATTTGTCCTGCTAAAAAAGTAGGAACTTGAAGAAAAAAAAAGAAGAGAGAGAGATATGTTTTGAAATGACAAGATTGGCGCATTATTTCTCGATCGAGCTCATATCTGTATCCCGCCCTAAATAATTCACTTAGGTCTAATCGGATATCAACAAAAAAAAATAAAAAAATCAGACGCATACGAAAATTTCATCATATATATATATATATAATTTTAGTATATGATAGTTGAAACAGTATAGTAAAATTACTAATGTATAGTGGTTGTAATTATCAACATCTGATTAGTAATTATTACTTATTAGTAATTACAAAACACAAGAAAATTTGCGTGGACTTCTCACAACACAAGAAAATTTATATTACAAAACACACACACAGACAAATTATATCCCAAAACCAGTAAGAAAATATATATAGTGAAGAACTTCCCAACACCAGAAATTAGAAAACAGACAACAAATGAAACAACCTTGTAAAAAAAAACTGATCATCAAAAGTCAAACAGAAAACTGTCTCTCTCTCTCTTGTTTTTTTTTTTTTTTTTTTGATAGGGTTAAAAGAAAATGTAAGAATATCTTAATTAGCATGCAACATCATCATGAATTAATCAACACTTATTAAAAGAGGAGAGGATGTGGGGAGCAACGCTAGCAATGCGAAGCTTATCGAGCACCACCTTCTCAGTGAAGCTGTAAGAAATTCTCAAAGCCCCCTGAGATTTAACACTGCCCTTCTGCAACGGGAGAGTCAGCATCGCAGTTCGACCGCCGTCATAATTATTAGCAGCTTCTTCATCTCTCTCGTCATCTAGTTTGCTACTTTTTCCGGTGGCAACATGCACGGGTCCGGCACAATCAAAAAGCTCTTTAAGGGAGATGTCGACTTGTCCGATGTATATATCTCCCATGGCTCTTGTACAGTACACTTTCACCACAAGCACCGTGTTACAGTTCTTCAGCATGGACTCGAATATGGTGTAGCTGGTCGTGAAATTCCACGCAGGGTTTTTCTTGCCGTGAGTGTCCGTCGGAGTTCTTCTTTCCGGCTCAGTTAGGCCGACGATGTAAATCCTGGCGTGTGCTTCCGTCTTGCCGAATAACCGGACGTCTTCAACGTTGTATGCTGCGGAGATGGTTATGTCGAACTTTCTGCACTCCATTTCTGACATTTTTTTTTCTTTTCTGAAATTTGTGTAGTGATGATGTGTGTTTTTACTCGGAAGGTTGGGGTTATATATAGTACATGCATGCTCAACAATCAACATGCTTAGTTTCACTTTGAATTTTTATTTCAAAATATATCATTTTGCACCCCAAAAAGCCAGCTAATACTATTTTGCACCTTTGAAAATTGAAATATAATTAGTATTATATAATGTACCCTGAACTGGTTTAAACATATTTAGCTTCAATTTTTAGTGCTAGCTATTCTCTACAAAGTAAAAAATAAATAAAAAATCAAATTAAATTGTCGAGAAATAATCTCGAAAGTGACGAAAAATTAATTAATCATAAAACTAAGTCAAGTTAAAACAAACTAATTTAATTTATTATCGTATAATAGTATTAATTATTTGCTGATGATGCTCCTTGAATGATATTTTAGTCCTTCGCTGAAGTAGAATATTGTGATTGGAACTTAAGTTATAATTAACTATTAATACTCAAAAGTCATACTAATTGAATACATTAAAAGTAACTATCTTGCTAATAATCTATTGCCACAATTAAATGTGTATTGACAACTTCTGTGGCAGTTTCGTCAATCATAATAATTAACAAATATTTCAAGGATTTACAAATGTGATGGAAAATATAAATTAAAGGTTGTTACTTGTTAGGAATGACTCTAATAAATTGGACAGCCTATCACGTTCTCCATTTTGAGGTTGCTTTTTCGGATACGTTATGTCGTTCGAGATTTATTTAATTTGAAATATATAAATGAGTCGATTTATAATAATTAAATCAATTATACTTATATTGCGTGTATTTGTAAACGAATTTGAGTTGAGGTAAACTCATGACTGTCGTGTTTATTGAACTTTAAGTTTATTAACTTATGTTTGAGTTTGGTTTGATATAAGTAAAGGAGAGGGGCTTCGATCGAGCTAGCGTGGTTATCCGTTCTCTGTTTTTTTTTATGGAGATTTATAAAAACTTCTTAGAACAGTTTTTTGTAGTTAATTGCCTTCTAAAATATTGTACGTACTTTTCCAAAATGATGAGCCACCGGCAGTACCATCCATTAAAGATGGGGTAGTATAAATACGAGTAGATTGACAATGATAAATAATTGTAAATATTAATTTTTTTTCATGTTTTTAGTATTGAAAATATCCGTTTCGACAGCGTAATCCACGCAACACTGTTTTTTGTCTGGATAAGTGATATCCACAACAACCTTCCACAACTGTTTTCGGCGAATCATATCACCCAACCACCGACTGTTATTGCCAAGGAGAGCCTAACGCGCTTTGAAGTCTTGCCCTAATCACAATCATAAAATGACAACGGAGATCATGCTTCAAAAAAAAAAAAAAAATATGATGTGCTCCCAAACGTATTGGAAGTTACAAGTACTAAATTGGAAGTTGACCAATTAATGTCACACAGCCCATTAGTTATGCAATAGATGATCAATTAGTTTTTTAATACTTTTTTTCACTATATTTCTAAAAAATGAGTAATTTTACCACTTATGTTGAATGTACTTGAATTTATTTAATCATTTAGTAGTATATATTTTTTCCTTCAAATTATAGGTGTTTTTCCTTTTTATAAAATGTATACACATGTATATATAATTGCAGAATAGTATGACCCATAATTAATATACAAAAGTTGCACTAGTTGAATGATACATATATAATTTCTGTAAATGTTTATTTAGTCACTCGATGCTCATTCCCTAAATCTTAACCGGTTCAATTACTTGGATGTGTTTATACACATAGTCAAGGAAATTGAAACTCTTGAGAGAGGAAATCAATAGTAAACATTTTAGAATTTAGAGCAATTAACAAATTAATCAAAGCTGCTAGAACTAATAATATTTTCCATTAAGACTCAACACAGCTATTACTAAAGGGGAGAGAGAGAGAGATCACCAACAACAGGAATCAATTAAGCCAAACACTAACATTATTAGAAATGAGATTCGGAAAAGAAATACATGTACATGAAAAATCCCCACACCACAAGAAATAAGAAAAAACAAACAAACAAGAAAACCTTTTAAATGTTATTAATTTACAAAAGTTGTAGAACAACAAACCAGCATCATCAAACTCAAACAGAAAACACCGACACACACACTAGATCTTTGATCTCTTTTCTTCTTTTTGTTTTTTTTTTCTTTTTTTTTCTTGTTTTATTTTCTGGGGTTCAAATAAATATATATAAGAAGGAATTAATTAAACGTACACACATCATCCATAATGATGAAGAGGAGAGAGCATCCGGGTAGCAACAGTAGCCATGAGCAGCTTAGTTATGGTGACCTTCTCACTGAAGCTGTAAGAAATAATCAAAGTCCCCTGAGATTTAACACTTCCCTTCTGCAATGGAAGAGCCAGCATCGCGCTTCGACCACGGTTAATAGCTTCTCCTTCATGCAGTTCAAATTCTTTGCTACCTTTTTTGGCGGCAACTTTGTCAGGTTCCGCACGTTCAAACAGCTCTTTGAGTGTCATGTTGACTTCTCCGATATACCTGTCTCCCATGCTCCTCGTACAGTAGAGTTTCACCACAAGCACCGTGTTGGAGTTCATCAGCATGGACTCGAACACGGTGTAGTTGGTCGTGAAATTCCACGCTGGGTTTGTCTTCCCGTGGGTGTCCGTCGGAGTTCGCCTTTCCGCATCCGGTGAGCCAGCGATGGAAATCCTGGCGTGTACTTCCGTCTTGCCAAGTAGCCGGACGTCCTTAACGTCCGTTGCTGATGAGACGGTTAGGTCAAATGTTCTGCACTCCATTTCTTAATTTCTTTTTTCTTTTTTCTTTTTTTTTTTTCCCTCCCCACCCCCCTCGAAATTGGTCTACAATAGATATATGCCGTACGCGTTTTTCTTCCAAGGCTGGGATTATAAATATATAGTATGATCAGCACTAATTCAACGTAACAGGGTTAGTTCTCTTAATATAGCCTTTTGCTCTCCAAATATAAAATTAATACTATTTTGCACCTTTCATATTATTAATGAGTTAATAGCAACAAACCCCCTGTGTTATTTCTAATTGCCAAAAACCCCCTTATGTAATAAAAATTAGCAACGACCCCCTTATGTTCTATTTAGTAGTGCAAATCGCCCATTATTCGCCATTTGACTGTTGACTTAGCTTAAATGACTGTAATACCCCTAATACATAAAACACAAATATACCCAAAACACCAATTTGTTTTCAATTTACATAAATGAATTTAAATTCATTAATTAAATACCTCCTTCTTCTTCCAACCATCGCCCCCAAAGGTATTTCGCAAGTTCGTGATCGGTAAAATGCCGACTCAATCGTCGGAAAACAAAATGGTGCCCTCGCCGGAGCAATCAAAGTCCAGCGGTGCCGTTCGAGATTTTCCCGTTCAGTATTGTACCCCACCCTGACCTTCTCTTCCCAATCAATTATCTTTTGTGTGCCACCATCTTCACCGAAGTCAACCCATGTGGAGCAGAATATTGTAAGAAGAGGAGCAGAATATCGTGAGAAGAAAAGAGTGTATCGGGATGTTGTGCTGCAAGGAAAGAAAAAGAAAAAGGTTTTCTGGGCAAATTTCTGAAAATTTCAGTTGGAATTTTCGTTCGGAAATTTCAGGAAAAAGCTTAAAGCTCAGCTTTCAAATTTCCGGCCCTTCCCTTGATTTGGTTTGATGTAGAAAAGATGTAGAAAAGAGCTTCAAGCTTAGAATGTTGGTTGGTTTTTTGCCGGAAAAAAACATGAAGGAATGGAGTGATCTGTCTAAGAAGAAATTCCGTCGGGAAAAAAAATCTGTCGGATGTGTAGAAAAACGTATCGTTTGGTCAATTTCCGGCTAAGGGGCGCCATCGGGGTAGGATTTTGTGTGGGTTGTGCGTGAAATGGTGGAAAGTTTAAACAGGAATGAGATAATTTGGGGGGAGAGGGCGTTTTGAAATTGCCAAGGACTGAATTGAAAATTCTGAAACTTTCATTTTGGGTAATGAAATTTTTGGGGTTAATCTGTAATTTTAATTTTTTTGATTTTAAGGGTATTTAGGTCTTTTCAGGTCAGAGCACGCACCCCCAGCCGCACAATCCGCGCGTGAAGAACACGATAACCCGTTAGGGACCTTATTGGCTTTGACTAACTTTCATAGGGGGGTCCGTGCTAATTTTTTTAACACAAGGGGTTTTTCAGCAATTAGAGTTTACACAAGGGTGGTTCTTGCAAAAAACCCTATTATTAATACAAAATAGTTTACGATAGTGTACCCTAAAGTAATGAAGGAAGAAATTGCAAACTAATTCAACATGGTTAGTTTACGATACTGTACCCTAAATATATATACAATGAATATGTTGATAATGATAAAATACAATATACAATATACAGAGTACAAACTTTAGTTTTACACTTGCGCACGTCTTTTCAATTTTTTAAGTGAGCAAATAAAATAACAATTTCGCACTCTGAAGTAGAATGTTGTGATTGGATTGAAAATTATTATTAATACTCAAAAATCATATTAATTGAAAACATCACAAGTTACTATCTTTCTAATAACCTATTGCCAAAATTGAATTTGTATTGATAAGTTCTGTGGCCAGTTTCGTCACTCGATATTATAGTTCTTGTAATCGAACTCGAGCTTGATCAACACAAATTTATAGTTTATCTATAAAAAATGTAGTATGTTAAAATTGGTTCGTAATGGTAAAAAGAAATGACCTTTTCATGATCAATCCGAAATAGAGCAGATTAACACAATATTTTCGAGTCGACCTGTGATGTTATTGGACTGTTAACAAATACCAAATCAAGTCCGGTTATTTAGTTAATCTTCATAATCAAATAAAGAAATATAATAATAATAATAATAATAATGTAAAAGAAAGTGGTATGGATAAGAAGACAAATAAATATCGACTTTGAACAACTAAAGTATATATATACAAACCAAAGTCCAAAAGTACAGATATATAAACTCAATCACACCAACAAGAGGCACACATGCAGTTTTATTTATATTAGTTTATTACTATTAATATTATTCAATTTTGTAGGTATTTCTTAATTAGAGATGAAATAATTGGAGGATCGGAGAATGAACTAGATGATCAATGGAGCAACATTCTCAGCCATGAGCAGCTGATCGAAGGAAACCTTGTCACTGAAGCTGTAAGAAATTTTCAGAGCACCCTGCGACTGAATGCAGCCCTTCATCACGGGTAAAGTCATCACCGCGCTCCGGCGGCCGCAGCTATCAGATTCAACCTGCAGGTTGCTGCTTTTCTCGTCGTCGCCGTTATATTTGGCACAATCGAAAAGCTCCATGAGGGAGATGTAGACTTCTCCGATGTATCTGTCCCCGGCGTTCCGATCGCAGTACAGCTTAACGACAAGCATAGCGTTACAGCTCTGCAGCATTGTCTCCATTATGATGTAAGTGGTCGTGAATTCCCATGACGGGTTTTGATTGCCGTGAGTGTCCGTCGGAGTTCGTCTCTCCGTCTCCGGTTTGCCGTTGATGGAAACCCTAGCGTGCACTGCCGTTTTCCCGAAGAATACGCGTACGTCTTCGAGGTTGTTAGCTGATACCACGGTTATTTCAAGCTTTCTGCAATCCATTCTGTGTTATTTGTTAAGATGGTTGGTTATACTTATAAATAGGCAAATAATCTTTACATTTTCAACATATATATATATTTTGCACAAAAGAAAGAAAATGTAAATACTTTAATTTAATTGTTCCCCTTCCGCACGTCTTTTATTTTTTTTAATGACCAAAACAAATTACCAATCTTGCAACCCATCCAAATTATTGAAATCGAAAACTCATACACTAGTATTAAATATAATATTATCTTGCTAATAATCTATTGCTGCAATTGGATTTATATTGAAGAGTCGCAGTTTCACCACTACCTCTATGATAAAAAAAAAAAAAAAAAAATTATGATAATATGTCCCATTTTGTTAACAGCTTTTAAAGCCGATTAAATAATAATTGTTGGCCAAATTGGACAGCCTATCACGTTCACCATGGTTAAGTGTTAACAGTTTAAGTCTTTGCTTTGCCAAGACGTTACTATGTCATTCAAAATTTATTTAAAATATCCAGTGACTTGATTTATAATTATCAAGTCAATTCTACTTATATTCTCTTTTGTTTTTTATGTTTTAAATTCCATGTCGAACAACACAGAGTATTTGACATGATTCTTTGACGAACTTAACGCGGAATAAAAATAGATCAATTTTTTTTTTATAATTTTATTGTATATATACTATTTTTAATTCTTTGTTTATTTATTCCATAATAACTGATTTGTGTAAACATAAAAAAAGAAAAAAAAAAAATTGGCAGACCGTGGAAATAGTCTTTTCATATTGGGACATGGACGAGGCTCTTAACAGTCTGTGAATGTTGAGAATTGGACGGCCCCATTTATGAGGTTTTTGGTAGTCTCGATCTGCGAGGATTGGCAAGAATCACAAATTGCGGTTGAGGGCGATTTGTACAACTATTTGTACTATCAGGCTGCTGAAGTAGAGGCTGATATATGGGGAGACTCTGGCAGCTGACGAGATTGAGGCTATACCTCGTGTTCTAGACCGTGGCGAATTCGAACTACTATACCGTGGTCATACGTGCTACTTATGTTTGTTTGTGTTATTAAATTATTTAATTTTAATTACTAGCTAGGAGCATATTATTTTGGATGCTATGAGTCAACCAGGATTAATCCCCTCAACTTATAATTAACGTGTCCAAACAACGAAGATATTGCTTGTTGCCGGCCTCTACCACTTACATAATTATATTGTGCTTTGTAAGGAATATAATGTAGATCGCGCTTTGATGTTAACGGTTATCTTTTTTTCTTTTTTTTTGATGTTAATGGTTATCGATCGAGAAGTGGCCTTTGAATGAGTTTTTTATAGCGTCCCTTGCTAGATAATACAACAGAAAATCTGGAAAAAAAATACCAGAGCAACAGATTGATGATCACGGAATTCTGTTATTTTTCATATAACCCGAACAACGTAACTAATGCATATACAAAACAAAAGTACAGGCAGATGAACACAATCACACCAACATGCATTAGGCACACATGCATATATACAACCAATTTTATAATTTGTGTATTTTTGTTTTTTTTGTGTTGGTCTTTCTTACAATTAGGTGAAATGATTTGAGAAATATCAAGAGGAGACTAGAGGCGGCGCTGAAGCAACAAGGGAGCAATAGTCTCGGACATCAACACGTTATCGATGGTCACCATCTCACCGAAGCTGTAAGCAATTGTCAGAGACCCCAGCGACTGAACGCCACCCTTCATCACAGGTGAAATCATCACCGCGCTACGGGGGCCGCCGCCGCCAACACTGCCACCTTTCTCATTTAATCCAGCCTGGCTGTTAACCGTGGCACTTTCGAAAAGCTCCCGGAGGGAGATGTGGACCTCTCCGATGTATATGTCACCGGCGTTGCTGTCACAGTACAGCTTCACGACAAGCATCCTGCTAGAGCCCTGCACCATCGCCTCCGTTACGGTGTAGCTCGTCGTAAAATTCCAGGCCGGGTTCTTATTACCGTGCCTGTCCGTCGGAGTTCGTCTCTCCGTCGCCGTCGCCGCTTTGCCGCTGATGGAAACCCTAGCGTGTACTGCCGTTTTCCCGAAAAATACGCGTACATCTTCCAGGTCTTTAGCTGATACCACGGTTATTTCCAGGTTTCTGCAATCCATTTTTCTTCTTGTTTTCTGAAATTGCTTTATTTTACATTTTTTTGTGAATTGGTGGTGGGTGCGTTATAAATAAGCAAATAGTCTTTACAGCTTCAAAATACCTTTTTTTTTTTTTTTTAATATATAATATCCCCTTCCGCACGTCTTTTAATTTTTTTTATTGACCAATTAAAATAACAATTCAGATTTAGGTTGTGTTTGTAAAAACTTTAGAAATAATCATTTAATATCATTACAAACTTTTGTTTTTGAATAAGGTTTTACGTACAGTCGAGAGACTTGACTTGAGTATTAGCAGTTTGGCCACCACTTAACAAATAATCAAATATCGATCATAGACTAATCCGCTTAAATTTAAATATATTGATGTATGTATCTATTGACTATTACATAAATTTGTGATACTAATTGTTGGCCAAATTGCACAGCCTATCACGTTCACCATGTTTAAGCGTTTGCTTTTACAACACGTTATTGTATATATCTTATTTCATTCAGAATTTATTTAAAATAATTAATGCCCTTATCATTTATAATAATCAAGTCAATTCTACTTATATTGTCTCTTGGCTTAAATAAATATAAAAAATTAAAATTAAAATTAATAGAAGAAACAAAACTAACCTGTTTCAAGAACCTGTATTGAAGTAGTGAATTAGAAAGACCCTTGCGGAGAAGAAATGTAATCAAAGTCCATTAAAATAAATCCACATCTTGGCCCAAATAAACCCATTAGACCTAACTCTAGCAATTGGGCCCCGGCCCCAAGCCCAGTTAAAAAGTGTGCTTAACTAAGTGAAGATTTTAATTCCAATATGTCATATTTAAATCTGGATTAGTGAAACTTCATCCTTCTTAATTCTTAATTAGTACGTAATTAGCTAATTAACCTATATTACTATAATTTGGCTACTCGTGGCTGCTACATATTGGGGTTATTTTTACATACCCTAGCCACTAAATAAACTAGGGATAAACGCAAGTCCAAATCATTATTTGATATACCCCTCTGGAGAAGCGAAAGTACTATACTACCCTCATATACAATTTTCGGCCAAACTGCATTCAGCATTTAAGGTCCTGCATTTATCACATTCGTTGATTTATTTATTATTATTTTCTTTTTTCTTTTTTAATAATAACAAACTTGTTTGTTAAATTTATATATATATATATATATATATATATATATATATATATATATATATATATATATATAAATTTTTAATTTTTTTTTAAATAAAAAAAATTAATTTTTTTTATTTTTTTAATTTTTTTAATTTTCAAAACAATATGTTTACTGTAGTGAAAAATAACTATATGTAACTATGGTACCTATAGTAATTCGTAGTTATGTTTGTCTTTTTTCCCCATATTTTTAGTCGATCAATTGTATACACACACGAATACTGGCTTATACAAAAGAAATTCATAAACCCCAACAAAAAATTGCAAAATTCAATATTTTTATTATAAATCACCTCAAAACCAATAAAATACAAATAAAAAATACACCAATATATGCATATGTAGCTACATGTTACTATATGTATATATAGTAATGTATACAGTTTGTTGAAATGCTACATATTTTAATTCAAACAGACAACGACTCTTCACCACCTCGCCTCCTACCAAAACCCTAGGCGTCGACGCTAATAACCACCCACGGTTCCGCGCGCCCACAAATGCAAAAAATTATAGAAATAAATCTGAGAACATAAAAACAACGAAATTACCATCAAAATATAGATCTCGACATCTCGGCCCATATCCACGTCCCGGCCCAAATAAACATATTAGAGCTGAATCTGTCAATCGGGCCGAGCCCATGCCCAATTTAAATATTGAAAATTTTGTAGTAACATATGTTCTGCAATTAATGGAAATATTGAAATGAATCGATAAGAGTTTGCTAATACAAATCTCATATTATGTTGGTTTAAGAGATGCTCATCACCTAAACAAGATACTTCACCAATTGCAAGTTTCATTAAATAACACAATTAATAACTACATATAATTATTAATTATTGACTTGAGATCGTCGATCTCGCCCTTGAGCTCCTCCTCCGTCTCGCCGGCCTCCTCGTAGCACTCGCGGCAGGTGCCGGCGTCGCTATCGCCGTAGTCCTCCTTGCAGGGAAGGCACTTCATCATTAATAATGATGACTTTTGGGTATTCCTCTCACAGTGATTCTGCTGGCTTAAAGCGTACACAGTTTATTGACGCGTGCACACCACGACTCTAGTTGAAACTGGAATGTATTGGAGTAATCGAACTACAGAAGGTGTTTTGTCTTTTTTGTTTCGGATAATATTTGATAAATATTTATTTATTATTAATTTAAGAGGGTCTTTGAGAAAAACCCCTCGTTACTTATACTATTTTGCCCCATTCAAGAAAAGTCAACACCCATTTCTAGCCATTATTTTTTTTTTCATTTTGCCCCCATCCCACATCATCACTACGTCCAGGGCCGACCCTGGGGTGGGGCGAGCAGGGTCCACGCCCAGGGCCAATGTCATAGGGGGTCCGAAATTTTAATTTTTTAATATATATAATATATATTTTTATATGTAAATATTGTTTTATTGCTTTAAAAAAAATTATTCTTCTATTTTTTTCAAAAAAAAAAATATTCTTTATTCTCTTTTTCTTTTGTATAAATTTATTTTAAAAATGGATTTGAAATTTATTTTATTTTTTATTCTAACGTTTGCTTTACACAATTTTTTTTATCTAGACATGAATATTTTCAGACTTCTTTTTATGAGGTTTATGTTAATAAATAATTTATTTATATTATTTCATTAAGGTTAAGATGCGGAAAATAAAAATCCGGACGTTGCCCCCGAACAACTGAACAATTATATTCTCACCCCGGGCCCTCGGATACGCCGGACCGGCCCCGACTGCGTCACGCGCCCGCATCATAAGGAAAATTGCTTAAGAAACATAGTCGATTAAGAAAATTCTTTTAATTTTTTTTTTTTTTAGTTTTTTAATATATTTTTTTCTCCATCAGGTATATTAATTGCCTATGAAGCATAGTCGGTTAAGAATTTGACTACTAAAAATAACAAATCACAATTAAAAAAAATGCAAATCAGATCAACTATATTTTACAAAAACAAAAAATATACAAACATTATAATTTGAGTTATACAATTGAAATCAATAAAAAAAATCCAAAAATAAATAAATTGGAGTCGAATCCCTTAATCGACTAATGAACATAAGTATGACTTTTCATCCAAATCGAAACTTTGTAAAGACATGAGAACCGAATAATTTTTTATCTTGGAGTTATACATTTTCTCAAATTTGTAAATTATTATGATTTAAATTGTACATCCTCTATATTATTAAATTATTATAGTCCACCATCAAAAGGGTTTTACAGTTTTACTAATTACAAATGGCAGCAGCCCATAACAAGTTCTGGACTCCCACCAAAAAAGTATAATTCATTTTTTACTGAGGCCCAATTTCTTCTTATCCGCATAGTATATCAACCAACCAAACTATATAGGGTGAATTAAATTACAATTACCCCCTCAGTATGATCAAGTTATAAAAATAAAAAAAACCCTTTTTTTTAAGGTAATTACATGTTCCCTCCTCCCATAGTATGGCCATCTAAGTAGATCTTTTAAATTAAGTGAAAAATATTCTTTAGCTTATACTCATTTTACCTTCTTAGAACAACTCCAACAGTGATGTGCAAATCTACTTTTTGCACTTTTTACATAATTTTAGCCCATAAATAGAGCTTCAAGAACAAAATGGGAAAATGCAAAATTTCTCCAATTTTAATTTTGGTTTCTCAAATTTGAGAAACCAAAGTTACCATTTAACAAATTGTGTAAAGATAAAAAAGAAATAATAAATTTACCACTATCCATCCCTTTCAACATATTATACATATACATATATATTAATTTAGTTGTTCGAATATCGCCCTCCAAGCGTGGGCTACACCCC